CAGTCATGCATTTGTTGCCATCAGTTCCCTGTCAGTGACTCTTGAAGTTTAAGGTGACGCAGACTGTCGTTTAGTGTCAGTCACCTTCTGGAGCTGAGGGTGGTGAGCTCCTCGCTCCCCCGCCCCAGTTCAAGCAGACTCTGGCAGACTGGAGCCCTCAGAGAGCCATCATCCCCTGGGCTTGTGGCAGAGACCCAGAGACGTACTGTGCAGTCTAAACTCAGCCTGTATTTTCTTGGCAAAGACTGGGCATCCGACTTGTAGAGGTGGGAGCTCTTTGCCATGGTATCTGCTCCAGACTCACTTGCACCCTGGCTTGGAGGTGGAACCGACTGGAAGTGAGGTCCTTTTGCATCTGCTGTGCAGGCTCCGTTAGATGATCGGGAAGGTAAATCGAGGAGGGAGGTGAGGGAACATGGGTCACACACGAGCACGCGCATGCACACACTCAGACACATGCACACTCAGTGGGAGGTCTGTGCCTCTCCACCTTTCTCAGCAGAGTCTGGATTGCTGGGCTGTGACTTGGACTGAGCATCCTCTCTTGGGGAGGAGGGGAAGGCAGTGCTTAGTAAATAGAAGCAGGGCATGTGCAGAGGCAGGTTTGGTTAAGTCACATTGGGTGTGTTTGGAACCCCGGACTGGAAGACGCCTTTGCTCTTTGCTGAAAATGTGGTCTGCCGGGTACCACTGGGCGGGAGCCTGGAGAACAAGATATGCCGTCCACACCACATTGTCAGGAGCAGTTAATGTGCAGCCTCAACAGGTGTGGGGGCGCTTCTCAATGCCTAGGTGAATTTCCGGTTGGTCCAGTCAGTTACATCTGGATTATGGACCAGGGTTTACATTTTTCTTTGCCTGTTTATCGTATCCCAGTTAATGGATTCTTGCTCTTTCTTTTGAAAATGCATAGCTTTAAAAATATATGAAAACATTGGCATGTAAGAGTACATTTTATTCCACTTTTTTGAGACAGAGGCTCACTATGCAGTCCAAGGTGGCCTTGAATTGCTGTGTAGCCCACGCTGGTCTCGAACTCATGGTGATCCTCCTGAGTACTGGGATTACAGGCACACCTGGCAAGAGCACATTTTAAAGGGATTGCCCAGATGTGTGTTGAAAGTAAGTGAGTTGAGTGTAGTGCGCTGAGGAGAAGCGCACAGTGCAGCTTACTTACAAGAAGCTTTGCCTGTGGCCTGACGAGTTCTCAGCCTGGGCAGGAAAGCTCAGACCACAAAACAGGACCTTTCCGCCCTCCCAGTCTTGTCCAGTTCTCCCTCCCTCCGAGGGTAACCCCATCCACACTGCTAATGGGTTCTCTTTGGCCTGGTTCGAACCTGATGCGAATGAGGCCGTGCCCTTGGTACCCTGCTGTCTGGCTTGTGTCACTCGGTCCTGAGCTTGACGTTTCCCTGTCGCCGGGATCGCTGTCACCCTTTCTTCTTCTTGCTGAACGTTGCACGATGAGTGTGCGCTGAGTTTGTCACTTGTGGCTTTCCGTTGCTGATGGGCTTGGGGTTCCCCAGATTGGGGCCGTGACAGCAGGGATGCTGTGGGCAAAGGACAGGGAGGCGGGGCCAGATGACAGGGTCCTTAACCTTGGGAGTCGCGCACACGAGGCAGAAGAGGGGAAGACCAGTTTGGTCTTTAGACCAGAATAGATGGTTCTTGGGAGCATGAGATATTTTATTGTTTTCTTTTAATTATGGAATAAATTCAAGTACTCGTGAGGGTTCAGGGAAGTATTTCTACTTAAAAACAACTATAAAACGCAACACCTATTTTGATGATCTCTTCACTATACGCGAAGCGCATGTTTTAGGGAATTTTCAGAACACGAAAGAGTAAGGGTGGTCACGGGCAGTGCTTGGGCTTGGCTTCCTGGAACTTGGAACACGAGTTCTGCCTGCCTTCGAGTTTGCCCAGGTTAAGAGCGCACGTTTCTGGGATTCCTCTGCTGGGCCAGGAAGGCCGGAGGAGGGAAGGTGACCACTTGGACTGGAGCATGGAGCGCTCCCCTGCCTGTCAGGATCACTGCGTTTTCACATTTTAGGGAACCTTTTCCTCTCCAGTTTTTCAAGTCGTCCAATACCAAAGAGAATCTTCACTTCATGGTTACCAAAATGTCAGCGAGGTTCCATAATTTTGAATTCTTGGCTTTCACATTCATTACCTTCCTTCCACAAAACAACCCATAGTGTTGTGTGTGTTTCCTGTGATCTCACATGGTAATAGAAAATATACAAATAAAACCTGTGCCGGACTCTTGAATTGCCCTTGACATGTACCTTGCTTAAAATAGAAAAGATAGAAAAAGCTCGAATCTTCTTTTTCAAATTAAAAAAAAAATTTTTTTATACACAAATATTAGGATCCCTAACCTCTCTAGAACAAAAAGGTGATGTAAATAAATTTAACAGTTTAGCTAAAAGCAATGCCTGTTTATACTGAAGACCTTGGATTTTGGTTCTTAGTCTGGGATATGTTTTCTAACTGTTGGACTCAGGGTTTTTGAAGCTGTAAAATGTGGTTTCAGATCCCTGCCCTACGTACCACAGATGGTTGTTGGGAGGGTGAAATGCAGTAAGTAATTCTTCTGAAATTGTAAGCTGTCAAGTACCAACTGTTGGAGAGCTGAGCTTTGCAGGCCGCAAGTTAAGATAGGTGTTTCCGGTCTCCTGTCCTAACACGGTGGAAATTAAGCTGGACCTCGACCTTTTGTCTTGTACCAGATGTGGCCAAAGCTCTAGCCCCAGCCACCCCAGCACTGCCACCTGGGGAAGGAGAGGGACCAGCCCACCCTCCTGTTGTACAAGTGGCATGCAGCAGCGTCTACAGGATCGCCGGGCTCACACCGAGAACTTTTAGACTACGTTTAATTTCTTTATTTTACTCATCCACAGTTATTAGATGTACAGAATATAAAAGTGTTTATAAGCCATAAACTAGTCTACATAGAAATACTAGCCATCATTACTGTTAAGATAGTAAGTCAAGTAGGAATTGAAGCAGTCTCCTGAGCTGGCCTGGCAGGAACTCTTTATCACTTCTGAGGAGTTCACCCCCTTCCTTAACAGCAGGAGAAGGGGATCTCTGATTTGGCCCACGTGGGCTTTGGCCTTTGTGTCAGAACCGAGGCTGTCCCGGGGCTGCCCCTGCTAAAGTAGAAGCCTTGGCTGCACTCATATAGATCTGGGGCCGTTACACCAGTCGTGTTAATGTGTAGTAAGAACGTCTCTTGGTGCTGAGCAGTTTTGAAAAGCGCGTTGTATAAAAGCACAGCACCTCTTCTGGGGTCGTGGCTGGTAGTGACATTGGAACTTGAGAGCTACAGGAATGCGTAGATTCACAGTCCTTTTCCAAAATGAGATGTGTTTTAGGGTGCAGAACCCTGATGTCCCTGGATGATTAAACAACCCTGTGAGCTCTGGGGCAGAACCCTGTACTCAGACGCAGGAAGTGATATGTGCATCAGATGAATGATTTTCTGGTTTAATGAGGGTTATAAAAGCACTTCAGTCCTAGTTAGGGTTTACTGCCAAATAAATTCCGCATGTCATATTTTTACAAACAAATATATTACACAGAATTTTTCAGGTTTGTTTGCATTTTGGAATCGACGTAGGGGTTGTGTTAGGTCTCGGCAGGAGAATCATTTATGTATGTGTAAAGCATCCAGGTAGCAGATTCTAGGAGACAAAGTTAGGAACACCAGGTATAGAAGCCTCAGGCTTGGGTTCAAACTCCAGCCTTGCCGAGTCATTCTGAGCAACCTTTTGCTTCTCTCTGGGTCTTCGTTTTTGTCCCTAGGGTCTGAGTAGTCTCTCCACGGGGATTAACTGGGATGTGCACAGGAGGACGCTGTGTGCGTGGCACTAGGCTTTCAGTACATCTGCTCGGGTTTCCTCTTCTGTACCACGGCTGCTGGGCCTCCTGACGAGCAGCTGGGTTTCCCAAGACTGGGCTAAGTAACGTGGCAGGCATGGAGCAGTCAGCAGATGCCCACGATGCTCCGTCCTGGAAACCTCCGTGTGGGGAGGGTGGTTCTGAGGAAGGAAAGGGCAGGAGTTGGGAGGCGAGGGGCTGGGATTCCTCCCTTCCGGCGTGTGCTGCCTCCCTGCTCTCCCACCCGGCCTGGGTCTGCACGCTGTCAGGCTGCCAGGCCTCGAAGCTGGCGCTGCCCCCCCACCATGCAGGTGTGCTCCGCTATGCCCGAGGCCAGCAAACTTGGCAGCGGCACAGAGGGAGAAGGGGATTTTGGCAGCCCTCTGCAGGTGGACTCCTTACTCGTCCGGGGCTTTCAGCAGCCCCCGGGAGCTGCGCTGGCCTTTCTGCTCTGTCTCTGATAAACTCGTTGCTCGGAGCCGGCTCTTTTGCTGTCCCGCCTTCACCTCTTGGAGTTGTTCATTCAGGATAGGGGCACAAGGGGCAGGAGCAGGGACAGGGGACGCACATGCCATGTGCCACCCTTGGCCTCTCGCAGGCCACAAAGACTGGGCGCCCCGTCTGTCCGCTCCCCGGGGCACGTGAGTAACGCGGTGACAGGTGATTTGGGGTAGCTTCTGGCTGCACGGGGACGTGAGAGTATGGAAGGGAACCCTCTCTCGGAGCTCTGCTGTGTTAGATCTTAGCGTCTGTAAACAGTTACGGCATTCGGGGAGTGCAGGACTGAAATGCGAAGCTCAGCTTCGTCGACTGTACCAGGCGGGTAGAATAGCGCGGGCTCCGGAAATCTGTAATTAAATGTCTTTTTGAAAATGAAAAATCTAGTGTAACATCTGGTTTATTTCACTGCATTAGTGCCTGGGTAATGCTTTTATAAGCATGATTGACTCTGGCTGATGGCATTTGGGTTTCTTTCTGTAATATCACTGTATTTTAATTGTTTTTTTGACGTGATTCTGTTTGTGTTTATGCAACAAATGATTCACTCACACCTATAAAAAATGACTGCCCGGTGTGGAAAATCTAATGTTTGTTCCCTTTTCTTTTCCTTGTAGCGAATATTCAACTCCTTTGTTTACACGGAGAAAGTCTCCAATGGAGAAAGCGAAGTTCAGCAGGTAAGAAGCCCTAAGGCCTAGGGCCTTGGCGTTTCCGGTTTCCGGACTCCTGCCCAGGGCTCCTCACCTCGGTCTCCCCAGATGTGTTCTGTGCTGTTTTCGTGTCCTTCCATCTACATTAATCCCTTATGGGACACAACCTCATGTTTCATTTGCTCAGAAGTCTTGAAATTATAAATATGTGGATGTTTTTCTGTGGACGATACATATCTTGAGTATATTTAATTCTTTTTTGTTTTGAACATCCTTAGACATGGTAAAGCTAAAAATGTTGAAAATTATTTAGAAAATAAGTGCCCAGGCTTTGGAATCAGACAGACCAATTCCAGCCCTCTTTTAAACGCCATTTCCTCTTTGCTCTGTGACCTTCATAAACAACTTAAGCTTTTGGAGTTGAAATTGTCCAATCTTTTCTTTTTCTGTAGCCTTTTTGGTACTGAGGATTGAACCTGGGCCCTGTGCATGCTAGGCAAGCGCTCTACCACTGAGCTACATCCTCAGCCCTTTCTCTTTTATTTTGAAAACAATCCCAGCAAGTTGAACAGGTCGTTGTTGAACTTGTGCTGCTCCTACTTCAGCTGTGCGTTCACAGCTGTGCACCCCAGACATGGCTAAAGGTTTTCCCAGTCTTGAATGAGGGGATCATGACATCTGCCGTAGGAGGTGGTAAGAATCAAAGGCTGCCACATGAACTGAGAGTACAGTGAAATTATTAATGTGGATAGTGCTGGCTTCCCTTGTTCTTTTCCTCTCTTCTCTTCTTGTATTGCTCCTTCTTTGTCTTCTTTCAGTGCTCTGTGGAGTCAAGACATTATGAAGCCAGATTCTACTACTTTATTTATAGTGGGCTTCAAATAGACACCCTCCTGAATTAAAACAGTGTCGGTGAGCTTGGCCATAAATAATTGATCTGGGCTTGAAAACAAGAGTGGTAAAAAGGAGTCGGTTTTAATTTCAGCTAATCCACCAACTTCATTACAGAATGTGACTATCCCCGGGTAACTTGAAACCAGGTTTGAAACTTAAGTAAAAAAACAAAGCAGAACAGAACCAAGCTAAGAACCAGACTGCAGCAGAGTGCCTCCGCAGAACAGAAAGACAATTACAGTAAAGTGTACAACAACTTAAACTCTGAGTGTCTGCCCTTATTTTATTCATGGGGAACAGCTTAAGCTTACTCTGAACTTCAGGGTGCTACACAAGAAGGAAAAGCTTGGAGAGTGCCAAAAGAGTGAAGTTATTTATAGGGTATTTACGTATAATAAATTATTGTGGCTTAATCTTGAAGTTCATCATTTCCTGTTTATAGAAATTGATGTTTATATTGGTTTCTGTGGGTTAAATTTAAAGCAGTCATCTATATACTGTCTTGCTTAGCTTTCTATATTTCTTTTAAAGTTATGACTTGGAATTGTGGTGAGTACAGTGTGGTTTTGTGCACCATCTGATCTTCATAATTCCTGTCTTATTTTTATTCCAGGAAGCTAGAAAGTACTTTGGGGTCATTAAATCAAGAGACGTGTTGATGGAAGATTTCTATTCAAAGCATAGTTGAGGAAACTTTTTAGGTGACCAGAGGCCATTTGATAACATTGCAGAGAAACTGACCCGGGGTTATCGGTTTTGCCTCTTTCCTTGAAGTAACAGATATAGTACGTGCTCTTCGTGAGCGGTTTTTAAATGTGAAAGCTGTTTTGTTTCCTTGGACTGATGTCATTGCCTTACCTAGTTAGGAACAAGTTTGGAAGCCAGGAGTAGTAATTGTTTAAAATTACAGCAGCTGATCGAGCCCTGGTGTGAAGCCATTTCCGTTCTTAATCACGTCAATGTTTGCCAAGTAAGGAAAGGGACCCGAAAGAGCCCAGTTCCCTGTGGTCCCGACTCCTAAGTAAGAGAGCTGGTTGTCGAAATCAGTTTGACACAAATGTATGCTGCCTGTGTTTTTAATTTAACGGAGTTTACTTTAAAAATATGTTTTCATCCAAAGAGGAGTATGTTAGTTACTTTCCTCTCGTTGCTGAGACAAAATAGCCAACACCAAAGTTACAGGGAGAGGGTTTATTTAGTTTACAATGTGTAGAGTTTTCAGCCCATAATTGGCCGCTCCAAGGCAGGAATGGCAGACAGGCACCACAGAGGAGAAACAGCACGGTGTGCAGAAGGGGGCAGAGGCAACAAGGGGCCTTCACCACGTCTTTCTGCCTCTTTCATCCTGCCCAGACTACCGGGATTGCGCCAAATCGATCACTCATGTGTAGCGGTGTGGTAATCACATGCCTTTAGCCCCAGCATCGCATATTCCAGATTTCAGCCACCTCTGACCACATGAGGCTTTAGGGCAACGTCCAGACCTGAGCCATAGCAAGGAGTCTGCCAGCCCTTGTCCGCATCTGAAGGACTCTGGGGGCGGGATTAGCCCCGGTCTGTCTGGGTGTCTTCTCACTGGTCCTCGTGGGGCTCTCACCCTGAGCCTGGATCACTTTCAACACAGCCCAAACAGGTCTGTTCCCTTTTGTGTCTGGCAGGTGGAGATCACCGTGATCATTTGGCCTAAACTTTAACGTACTCGGATCCTAAATAATTTCTTCTCCTGTGGCACAGTTTAGAGCTCTTCGGATCTGTGGTCACAGTAACAGAACTTACATTTAGGGCAAAGCTTACTGCTCCTTTATCATACTTCTGAGGACAGCCTCATTTTACAATGGAAACAGAGACAGTCTCAGTGTCTCCTTGACTTGGGGAGAAGCTGCCCAGAAACTCCAGGCCTGGGGTGGCAGACTGTGCACAGGTTAGGGAAATGCTCCCCACTGTTTCCTGTAGATTTCCCCATGACAGTCGTACTCACACGTTTCTCTTCTTTGAACTTTAGGGTGCCAGTAGGCAACTAAGCTGGCTTCTTGTAAACTGTGAAATGTATTAAAATGTGGAAATACCTTCAGATGGATCCCACCCTACCACCAGCTAGAAACAGAAAACATCACCAGACTCGGAAGGCCTTGTGTGACTTGTCAAGAGGAAGGGGGGATCACCCTTTTTCTCCAAACCTTAACCTTATTCTAGTTTTTTGCTAGCCAGTCTCTTGCTTTTTTAAGTATTTTGATTTGTTTTATATTTATTCACTCACCAAATTAATTTTTAGTTTGAGACAGGGTCTTGCAAGTTGCCCAGGTGGGACTCAAATTTGTAACTGTCCTGCCTCAGCTTCCCTTAGTGCTGGGGTTACAGGTGAGTGCCACGTGTCTGGCTTCCCTTGTCGAACTTTATTACTCCTTGTTAGGAGATCGAACATGTTAAAATATACCCCCCCCCCCGCCATTTTATATCTTACTTCCGGGTTCTTCCCCGACTGAGTCCTTTCTCCCGCCGAAATTGTAAAGCGCGAAACTAGAGCTTCTGCAAGGCGCGAAATTCAAAAGGCAACCTGGCTTGCAGTAGGATAACAAAGACCGCTTCTCCCAAGGAAGGATCTTCCGTTGCCTGCCCTATAAATATCCCAGCACTTCCTCTTCTCGCTCTCTCCTTCTGCTTCTTCTTCCTTCTCTCTCTCTCTCTCTCTCTCTTCCTCCCCCCCACCTCTCTCTGCCTTCCTGCCTCCTGCTCGCCTCCCTACAATAAAGATCTCCTGCTGGACCTCTCGGTGCGTGAGTGGCATAATTGGGCAAGGGGCACCCAAAGGGGGCTCAAGACCCCTTTCACCCCTGGCCTCATGCTAACTGCAGGTAGGATGGTGTGTGCTGTGTGTCTGAGCTGGCGCGATTGTGCATTAGATTCCGTGGAGAATCACCCCTCTGACGTAGAATTGCTGGCTGCCCTCCTGAGTCGTGTAGCAGGAGCTTGCTGATCACGTCCTCTTCAGTACACAGGACTCTGACTTTTTCCCTGGAAAAAGGGAATCTTTCCCTGGAATCTTGCCGTGATGTCCAGGTTGAACATTAGCTTCTGCGCAGCCTGAGTGGCTGGAACTGTGTGTGCACCACCACGCCTGGCTGTGAGTTCTAGTCTTGCCGAGTTGGAGAGTCTGAAGTGGATCTTATTAGTTCAATTTGTTTTGTCCTGATTACTGATGAGATTGGGATGTCTGCCTGTTTACAGTACGTTTTCGAGAAGGTTTCCTTGTTCTGTTAAATGTCTGTTGACCTTTTTAATCGAATTGCCTATTTTAGCAATCCTATAGATGGTCTAGGCTGGGTACCACGGAGCTTTCACATTAATGGAGGGGCCCAGGATCGGGGTTGACTGATGGGAGAGACATGGCTTTGAGTGACTGCTGCTCACCAGAAATGTGCCTTGAGTGATTAAACCTTCATTTTACTGAAAATAGCTGCACATGGCTGGAGGTTATCCTATTAGACTGTCTTGTAGATTTATGTTTTATAGATAGGTTCTCCCAGATTTGGGGCCTTTTTCACTCTGTGATATTTTCACAGAATTGAAGTTTTAAATGTAGATGAGTGCTCCAAACTAGTCTTTTCTTTTGTAGAGGAATTCATTTCTACTCAAAGATGCAAAGATATTCTGCTGTTTATCTTCCAAAATGTTTACCATTCTCATCCAAGACCAGCAGTGGGTTTTGGCGTTGGATGTGCAGTGTGTCTTCGATGTCCCTCTTCCCTGCATGGTTCTCGAATGTTCTGGCCCGGTCTGTCGCATGATCCATTCTTCCTTCCTCCATTTACATTGAGTTTCCACATTTGCCACAGTTGGATTCGGTTCCCTTGGTCACACGAGCCTCCTGACTACACCTTTATGAAAGGTTTCCATATCTGGCCAGGTGACACTGCCGCTCCTGTGTGGATGGCTTGCGTTACCCATGCAGGCCCAGCCCCGGCTGCTCTGCTACCTCTGGTGTACTGTGCTGTCCCCGCAGTGGCAGCTCAGGAGCTCCAGTTTGGGCCACCTTCCTAGGACAAAAACAGGGTTCGGCCCTGGCCCACCTCCCAGATTTCCTGCTTTCGCTTTGCTCAAGGTCACAGTGCCCCTGGCCCTGGTTTTTTCCCCCC